CCTGTCAGCGATAATAGGACCATCCCAGTACAACGTTGCACGACCATTTTCAAGAACTGGGTCGGTCATATATTTGTATGACAATAACATGCCCTACAAATGTCTATTGTGCCGTCCTTCAGGATATACTTTCAATAATTATTCGTCATAACAACTTCATCAGTAATTGTAAGGGCAAAACCTTCAGTTTCCCCGAGGAGGTCACCGAATCGTAGCCAGAATACAGACGCCAGTTGGTCTACCTCAGGCCAGTTCAAGGCCCGATAAAAATGTCTATGCACCTCTTTGCCCTTTCATATCTCCTTACGATCAGTAATATTGAGTACTGCAAATTTGCGCCAGTTCTCTAGACCAAGCGGAGTGAGTCCGTTATCAACTGCTACTACATCCCTATTCATAACCACATTAACAGAAAGGAAGTAATTCCTAAGGTTACATATCTCACGATTATGGAGGGTCCTGGAATTTAGAAAACCACGACCAGCACATTTTCGCGGAATATATAACCTCAACACCGATGAACGTGGGTGATGCATTCGGTACGCTTTAATCAATGTACGAACTCTTCTATCCAAGGTATCTCGTTCAGTCTGAGTCCATCTAAGTATGCCAAAAGAGTAGGTTAGCACTGGTATGACCCAATCATTATAGGCCCTCACCTTATTACCACCTGACAAAAGACTATTTAATACTTTTTCAGGCGGCTAAAGAAGCGTTCCTGTAATGATTGTTTCATAGTCAACTCATTTACACCTAACGCCTGTGACATACCCAGATATTTGTAAGTTTCTTATTATTATTATATATCTCAATTATAAATTAAAACAGATACATATGCCCGCCACCACGTAGAGCTAGATTCCATTAAAACTTTCGCTCTATGTCGTCAAATCAACTTCGTCTGGTAATCGATCAGTATGTAATGAATTAATGATTCATACCAAATTAGGCCTCGTTGTCGTTGATTGAAAAGCATTGTCTGTTTATAAACGTATTGTAAATTCCTAGCCCTAGATAATGCATGCTCATAGTTTTCTTATACACGTGACATACGTAGGTTACCGCCTGCCGATTAATTAAGAATAGGGTAGATAACTAAAAACATGAAGAGAAATAATTTCAACAAAATTATATAATTCTGGTCTTGCGGACACGATAACCTTTACACATTGCTTTCATATCATTAAAACTACATTATATCAAACATGCAAAGTTGAGTCCCAAAAATTTTGATTTCAGACCTCATTTGATTGGACCATATAACAAGGGCTTACTCAAAAAAAATATTTTTTTGACTTCATCCACCTTGTCAGCTATGTCCAAAGGACATGGGAGTCTTTTTATCCAGAAACAGATATAAAATAAGCTCTGATATTTTTTTTTGGACAACTAAGAATTTTATAGAAGGTGCTAGTAGGATCTCAGATTACCAACTTAAAACAAACGATCAAAGTAAATCTTTCAAATACACTAGCCATACTATTGTGATTCCTTACTCCTCACTGACCGTAATGTTAAATGGCCTTTTTGGAATAAAGTTCCTTATCGCGCGTTACACGCTCTGAGCTAATGGGAGCAATACCGAAAATGTGTAATAAGACATTTTGCCGACACTTCAATTGGCGCGTCGACGCTCACATATATTTCATATGCATGTCTATAGAAAACGTCTACCAAAAAGCGAAAGGGTGTCCATAGACCCTTCACGCCGTTTTTAGGGTGCCGTACCCAAAGGGTACAATGGGACCCTATTACTAAGACTCCGCCGTCTGTCCGTCTGTCTGTCTGTCTGTCTGTCCGTCCGTCTGTCCCTCTATCGCCAGGCTGTATCTCATTAATCGTGACAGTTAAAATTTTCACAGATGCTGTATTTCTGTTGCCGCTAAATAACAAATACTAAAAAACAGAATAAAATAAATATTTAAGGAGGACTCCCATACAACAAACGTGATTTTTTTGCTCGTTTTTTGTTAGACATTGGTAACGGCAACAGGTAGACGCTTGAAACATTCACAGAATATTTAGTTAAATATTCACTTTAAAAATAAATAATCAAATAAAAATAAAACAAATATTTAAGGGGGGCTCCCATACAACAAACGTTATTTTTTTGCCGTTTTTATAGATAACGGTACGGAACCCTTAGTGCGCGAGTCCGACTTCGCACTTGGCCGGTTTTTTCTTTGTTAACGGGGTGGAAGATCTTAATGGATGTCTTCTGTCCATTGGGGAGGGAAGGGGTCTGTCGGACTATAAACCACACTGTGTTCATTTGCTTGTCAATGGCTAACTACCAGTCAGATTTTAAATCTGAGATTACCGCCAAAATAAAAGAACAAGTTCGACAAGTTCAGTACTCGTACATAGATATTATTATACAATTTTTATTACTACGAAGAAATGGGTGTGCTAATCAAAAAGTAGACTTTATCATAAGCGCCTTTGTCATCTATGATATTGATCAGGTGTTAAGATAAAGAGTGAACCATACGGTAATAACGCAAGCGATATCTATAAAGCGATATAAAAATTGAGATGCTATAAAAAAATGGGAATGACGTGAAGTATATGGTAGTATGTGGTAAAAATACAATTTGTAAGTACCAACAGAATGTGTTTTTACTACACACGCATTTTTACCCCACTTATCACCCACAAATACAAGTGTAGTTACTTGTAAACATATTAATTAATTAAAAAATATAATTTATAAGAACTAAAGAAAACTCGCTTTAATAAGTTGTCACGCGACGCCGTCCATTCTCCCACCAGGTCTACCGTGACCATTCACCGCTTCACCCACCACGTTACATAGTAACTAAACTAATAAGAAAACGTGCTAATTATTGAAAAAAGATGAAAAACCTGACTGCGTGAAAATGTATATGTACTTAAAATTTTCAAATTTACAGTGTCACTTACAATTGGGATGATTTAAACGACCCGCCGAAGCCAAAATCCATCAAGCCGTTAAGACTATATACACGCGCACACTCGAAAAACAACCCTTCTTTTGCTGCAGTCGGGTAAAAAGAGTTTCACTTCTGATTTCCAGCATCAGAGGACCCTAGTTCATTTGCGGCGATGGTCACTTTCCATCAGGTGACCCGTCTGCTCGTCTGCCCTCTCTAACATAAAAAAATAAAAAATATGAGCTCAAACTGAGAAGGGTTTTGCTAGTACCTCAACATCCAGTACCTATCCACCTCCTGGCTGGATGGTAGGTGGTAGATAATGCATGTTTTCAGGAGTTAATGAACTTGAAGTTGATGCGTCATCATATCAACTCCAAGCTTTCGAATTATGGTTTGCTGTTACATCACTTTTTATTGGAGCCTCCTTCAAAGTAGCAGTCCAAGTAGAGTCGGCCGGAAATACCGTCTGTCTGTTTGTTACCTCTTCGCCTTGGTATGCAGATCGTTTGATTCTTGAGCTTGGACATAGGCCACTTTTTACCACGACAACCGACAAAAACACAGGCTAAGCCGCGGGCAATAGCTGGTAGGCTATATAACGTTACGCCACCACTAATAGGAGATGTAAAATGTTGCGAAAATGGGGATAATTTATACCTTTTGAAAGGCGCCGGCCAGCTTGTCACTAATAACAATTGTAGCCTCTTTCAAGTCGAATATAAATCAATTTTATCGTAAGTTAGAGTTCGTTACTATTTACATTATGCAAATCAGTTGTTTTTAAATAGGCCCTGTAAATGACCTGCCATCACGACTCGTGTGCGAATGCTACGTAATGAGTTCAACCTCTCTACGTCGTAAACAGTCTAGTTAAAATAAGTTTTTTGGCGAAGCTCAAAACACTTCAGAACTCTTTAACAAAGAGCAACTCAATGAGGGTTTTCTGAAATGTTCCACGTGAGATGGCAGCACTGTAGCGTCAGGTCCAACCACCTATCAAAACACATACACGATTTGTATTTTTCGATCACTTTTTTGGTTTATTCATTCTTAAAAACGTTACAAAAGGAATACTGATTTCTAAAATTCCACAGTGTTGTGCAGTGCCTCTGTGTGCAAATAAAACTTTTGCGCCTCTCTTTTTGAGCTCAATCTTCACTTCGGCAACCTTTCTCTGGCCGTAATCTATAATAAACTCAATAACACTTCCAAATTCATAGAATTTCACTGAAATATTATACGTTCGGTAAGAATCTGTGCTATCTGACAGCTTTTTGGACCTAAAGCATACGAAGCGCCGTCTGGTAGCAGAAAAAGTATCGAAGACCCTCATTGGTTAGTAAATATCGACCCTCTGTGTGAATTAGTAAATACTGATCGCACTGTGCGTAACTGACTGCTGTTACTTAAATATTTCTACAAACAAACACATTATAGATAAATTATACCCAAACACAGAACATATGATCGTGTGTATGGATTCACAAACGCTTAGCAGTCACAGTCAATAACCACTAGACAGACATGCCGATATGCAGCAAAAGTCTACTTTGCAATATAAATGTTAGGTGTCGATTCAGTTGCACTGATTGGGGTTCGAACTGGTTAGTCTCAAGTTGAATGCCTTAGCCTTAGCTGATACTGGGTTCATAATAGTAAAATTGTAAATAAGATTAGAACCGGAAACCGCAACTTTATGGTTCTTCGTCATCATCGACAAACTTGAATAGTCCACTGTTGGACATAAACCTCTTCTTAGAAAGGTTTTGGCCTACTATGCCACGCTGGCCAGGCCAGTTGGTATAGGGTTTATTTCAAGTTTTCCTTCTCTTTGCAGTGATGTTTTCCTGCGTAGTTTCCTCTCTTAGTTGACTCTTACCATACCCACGGGATAAAAAGGGGTGGTAACACTCCGTATTCTTAATCCGTCACCACACGGAGTTTATGGTTCTTATAGCATAGTATTTATCTAGATCATCATCATCACCAGCCTATAACAGTCCACTGCTGGACATAGGCCTCTCCTTAGAAAGTCTTCGTTTATCTAGATTGGTTACCCTTAATCATGTTTTTCTCTCTTTCCAGATTCGACAGTGTTCATTCAAGGAGCGGCTGCCACGCCGGTGCCACTTATAAATGCGATGACCGAAGCTGGCAAGGCAGGCAACATGAAAAACATCAGAGTTGTCCATATGCATACTGAAAAAGATGCTCCTTATGTTGCACCGGAGTGCAAGGATATTTTTAGGTTAGTTTCATACATATTATCGTCTGTAAATCAAAGTCCTAAGAGTCATATTGCAATGTTAAAAAAGGACCCATCGACTAGTCTATGGGATCTACAGCCCATTTGTGCCGAAGCATGGGTACAAATGGACCATCTCGACCTGTGTGATACCACAGGTACAGAACCTCAAAAACCAGTGGTAAACAATTCTTTTGCTGCTTATATAAAATATGCAGTTGCGTGCGTGCGTGCGTGCGTACTGGCTAGGTTTTTTGTGCCCAAAAGTAGAGTAATAGGCTCATAATGTACTGGTAATTCAGGTTAATAATTATTTAAAAGAAGACAATTTGGTGATTAGCGTTCTGCAACTTGAATTGTACTTTATTGTGTCGGAACAAGAGTCACTATTTAATAAAACGATGTGTGGTGTGAGTGTTTTGTACCTATACCATTGTTACGTATTAGGGTTCGTTGATTTGGAATAATAAGTCTTCTGACGACTAAAAAGACTTTATTATTGCTACAATTAAAAACGTTCAATTAATACTGAATAATAGTCCAGAATCATCGCCGAGGTCGCTGGGTTACACTTCTATTCGCTTAGATTCGATTACCTCTAACCGAACTATTTAAGACGAAGACATGCCCGTATTATATATAAAAGAAAGTCGTGTTAGTTACACTATTTATAACTCAAGAACGGCTTTACAGATATGGCTGAAAATTGATGGCGAGGTAGCTTAGAGCCAGGAGACGGACATAGGATACTATTTATTCCGTTCGACAGTGTTTTTTTTTTTTTTGTTTTTTTTACGAACTTTGTTTTTTTTTACGAACATCCATGTTTTTCCCATGGTCAATTATATGTGGCATGTTCACGGGTCGGAAGACTATCTGCGTTGTTTGTTTTTGCGCCTGATAAGAAAACAAAAAATGTCGTGTATCACAAGGTACTTAAGTGAAGAGCAACCTATGTACTGAAATGCAGAAACAATAATAAATGATTAATGTACTTCATTTTTTTTTTCTAAGAAAAAAATTAACTTACTAAATTCTAAAATCGGCTTATTTATTGCCTTTAAGGCGGAACAGAGTTCGCCGGGTCAGCTAGTTTATAATAAGTCTAGAAAGCTCTTTACAGCTTATGCTAAACCCTAGGAGAACTTGCGAATTCTAAGAAATACAAAATCGTTTCAAATGTAAACTAAATAATCGCGTGACAATCTATTTTCGATCTTATGCTTATAGTTATAGAACTCATTCTTCCGTGCCACCCTTCATAATTAGTAGAATTCTTTCTGGAATTGAAATTAATTCACGTTTTTTTTCTCGAACCTTCGTAATATCTCGTGACACTGTCAAAAGCTGTGGGCATGGTGTAGCTCAATTAGGAGATCCGTAATGTGTCGTCAAAACTCTCATCTTATCATCCTTATCTGTTTCTTATCTTTAACTTCAGATAAACAGTAAAATTTCAAACCTAGGATTTCATCTGCATTAAGTATATTATCAAACGAAACGCACGATATGTGTGTCAGATAAACGGTTTTATAACAATTTTATTGTACTTCTGTTACCATATTCTTTGATGATATGAAATTACATGCTTTTTTAGTATTACGTAATGATTTACAGATAAATAAAGCATACATGCATTTCGTTTTTATTATAATATGACAAAAAATAACTTGAAAGGATCCCTTAGCACCTTATAAGTTCAACACATCAATGAAATAATTAAAATCGAAATTTTAGAAGTCAAACGCCAAATCGGCAAGTTTAGGCAAAAGATTTATTTATTTTGTAAAATAATATAATAATAGGTTTCATGGCTAACACTTTTGAATATAACGGAGAAAAAAAAAAACAATTTTGCTCCATAATTTTTTTCCGTTTACATTTTTTTACCATGTTACACTGAAAATATTGAAAAATGTATCTAACAAATATTGTTCTAAATCAGATTTCCTGTTCAGTATATTTTTTTTCAAGTCACTTTAACGACTTTTATGTCTAAGTCCACTATTTTTCAAATCCGGACCCTGATTCTCTTGGTCGGGTCGGCTGTCTAACTAAGAGTCCTTGTTCTGGAATAAAAGTACAATTATACCCCAAAACACTGTATTATACTTTTTTAAACTTTATTTTAAATTACAATAATGTAATGCCTAAAATTGACTTTGTAAACAACAGTTGACCTCTGATGGGTACACCACCATCAATAATCTCATCGGGAATAATTTAAAAAAATCGTAAGCCTCATAATCATCACCAACAGGAAAAAGGCCTCTCCTTAGAAAGGAGGTTTTGGCCTGCTATACTGTATAGGATTTGTTTCAAGTTTTCCTTCTCTTTGCAGTGGTGTTGTCCGGCTCTTACGACACCCACAGGATTAATAGAGATGGTGGCACCACGTATTCTTAATCCTTTACCACACGGACAAAAGAAACTTAATGATTCAAAATTAATTATGTTTCTTCTACTTACAGGTCGTGTTCCCTGTTCATGGCTGCAAACGTTCGACAAGCAGTCGCCGAAGGCCGATCAGATGCGATACCCATCTTCCTGCAAGACATCCCTAAATTGTTCCACAGACAGATCATCGAGCCTGATGTAGCTCTCATCACGGTAACTATACATTTATATACAACAAATTGAAAAGTCAAAATCGTAATGTTTTACATACATCAACATTATCTAGCAAAGACGACTTGCATCGTGCAAATGAATATTCTCAGACTGATTAGTCGCCGCGGTCTGTCAGGTATTACCATTATGATTTCTGCATAAAATTATAAACAATAGCATTAAAAATGAAAAATGAAGCATATTGTAATTTGTAAATGGGTGTGGGCATTAAATAGGTGGAAGAGTAGGCTCATAAGTGTGGTAGCTGCAAAATTAGCTACAGACAAGCTTCTAACTTCTTTTTTATTTAAAAACCTTTTCTCGATAGTTAAATATTTTGTTGTGATGTTCTTTGAGCGGATTTGCGATATATGAACTTGTCATTGAACGCCCTATTTGTTTTATGGTTAGTACCCCTGACTGCTAAACCAGAGGTCGTGGGTTCGATTCCCACGCGGGACAAATATTATGTGATCACGATCATATGTTCTGTGTCTGGGTGTAATTTGTCTATTAAATCATCATCATCAGCCTATCGCAGTCCACTGCTGGACATAGGCCTCACATATTGCACGCCACTTCGATCTATTTTCAAATGTATGTACTTAAATATATAAGTATGTTTATCAGCAATCTGGTTACCATAGCACAGGCTCTGTCTAGTTTGGGATCAGGCGGCCGTGTATAAAATGTTTGAAGTTATTATTATATGTTTAATACAGAAACTCTTACTATTCTCCCAAGCTTATTACCGTGGGGGAGCCATGTCTCAGCATATAAAGCCCACATGTGCGATACCATGATCTCTCAGAAAGCTGGTCCCAAGCAGTTCTTGCGTTGGTTTTCACCAAGTGACTGAGGTTACCCAAGTAATAGGCCAAAACCTCCTTTCTAAGAGCCTATGTCCAGCAGTAGACTATTAAATTCTGTTGGTGGTGGAGGACTCAGGTTACCGTAACCCAAACCCTCCCCTTTGTGACTCTTGAGCTGCAGATGTTCATGGGCAGCGATAGTCATTAACCATCAGACAACCCATCTGCGCCCCCCCCCCCCTCCCCCCATACGTTTAAAAAGACTACACAACGCTATATCGAAACATTAGTAGACCAACATCATGTATTGAGATACGGGATAGGCCAGTTCTGCCAAACGTTATGATTCCAATATATTCATTTGACTACTCATTGTCTCCAGGTTTCTCCCCCCGACAATCACGGGTACTGCAGCTTGGGCACGTCCGTGGACTGTGTTAGGTCCGCGCTTCACAACTCTAAAATTATTATTGGTAAGTATTTAAAAAAAATATGTAAAAGATATGATATTGTCTATGAATATTGTTACCCGTCTGGCCAGCGTGGGCCAAATCCTCCTTTCTAAGGAGAGGCCTATGTTCAGCAGTGGACTATTAAGGCTGTTGATCTAATGCATATTTTTATCTCTTCAGTCGAAAAACCATTAATGGGTAATGTAAGATTCTGAACACTGAAATGCACTTTAAACTACACCGTCTCTCTAAAACATGTGAGAGATTAGTGATAAGGACGCCTGCAATTACGAATTGCGTACAAGTTCTTTTTACGTATTCTTGTAAAAAAAAGAAAAAAATTGATGTAGATTTTTTTATGAAAAAGGATTGTGACGTCACGCTATCTAATAATGTTATTCTATTTAATTTGTCCAAACCGTTCTAAAGCAAGTCGGACTTACACTTGTAGGTTTTTTATTTTATGAACAAGTTATTTATTGGGCTCTGTGAGAAAACATGCTTTTTGTATGTCACATTGTCCCTATCGCTAAACAAAAATGTCTACCGAATTTCGCGCCCTTTTAAAATATGTCTCTATTTTCCAGCTCAAATTAACAGCCAAATGCCACGTACATTCGGCGATTCAATTATCCACATTTCGCATGTTGATTATGCTGTGAAGTTAGACACGCCTCTACCCGAACACGCAGCAAAAGCCCCAACTCCTCAAGAGGCGAAGATTGGTGAACTGATCGGACAGAATTTGGTTGAAGATGGCGCCACCTTACAGATGGGTGTGTATTTATCTCAGTTTGAATGTTTAAACGCAGTATTCTCTAGAACATTCACTCAGATATTTGATAACTCTATTTATATTGGATAGAGTACGTGTTGAGGAAGAATAAAGGCATTAAAACATCATGCTAAAACCTTTAGAAACGGAATAGAAGGCCAAGTGCGAGTTTATTTCACTTCTACTCGATCGTCACGGTGACCCTCGCTGAAATCTCCACCAATCGCAATGCTAAACACGCACGCCGTCGAGAGCGAGTCGATGGGAAATAAACTTGCACTCGGCTATCAGAAGCCATAACCGCCAGAACAGCTAATTAGTACTAAAATTAAGTTAAAATTAAGTTAGCTTTGATCTACCATTATCGTCGCTTCCAAATACAGCAAAAGCATTCACCGTTATCTAGCCAAGAGAAACTCTACTAGTGATCCTGCATTGCGCAATCAAACTCTGATAGAATTTTCTCTGTTAGAGCAATTACAGGATTATTACAACCAATTTTAAAGCAATATATACAACGATTTGTATAATGAACACACTCATTTCGTCATAGAATAATGTCGGTTCTGACCTTTATTGGATTACAGGGCAGCAATTTCAAATAATTATGTTAGTTTTTTTGACATAACTGTTTTAATTCTAAATCTGTTATAGTAAAAATTGGCATACACGTGAAACATAGGGTTTGTTTTAAAATGCAATCAAAATAACTATTAATTACTAAAAACTAATTCCAGAGAAATCACATGCTTCATTTTACTTTGAGCGTCTTTCAAATCCGTCAGTTTACCGACCGAATAATTTAAAATCTAAAGTACATATAATTTTTTCTTGAATGTAGTAATAATATTTAGATAATGTAGGATCCAAATATGGTAAAAACTGAATTTCGTTCTTTTTTCAAAACCGTCATTATTCTACGATCATGATGATTTGTTTTGTACATATATTATGTATGTATTAGTATATGTAATATGTATGAAGTATATATTTACTCATGTATAGGCATGTTTATTCGTGTGTGACATGTGTTATAACATTTGTTCCATGTTTGATGAATTTTTAGAAATATATGTGTTTCTAAGTTGACAATTGTTTATTGTAGGTATCGGCAGCATCCCAGACGCTGTACTGGCAGCTCTGAAGAATCACAAGGATCTGGGTATTCATTCGGAGATGTTCAGTATCGGAGTCATCGATTTAGTCAAACGCGGATGTGTAACCAACAATAAGTAAGTCGGCTAGTAAGTGTAGTGGCTTAAGATGGGTTCTGACGGGCCTGTAGGTCTTTTTTTTTAAAGACAACTCCCGCACTAGGAATATATCCTGTGTCGCGGGGGATTTTACAAACATACACGAAACGGACACAAAGAACACCCAGAGTCAGAACAACAAATTGTGGATCACACAAAGTGTCGTCCCATGTGGGGTTTGAACCCACAACACTCGACGTAGTAGGAAGCGGCGTGGCGACCGCTTACACCACTACGCCATCCGTGCATCGCAATTAAGAATATTATGTATTTTACAGCTTCATTTTAACATTTTTTGTTACACATTTAAATGAATAATGACACTTATTATCTAGTTCTTTTACAAAAGTGACCTTTTCTTTCACGTTATAAAATAAGCCACTTGTACATTCCATTTTTAATCGAGTTTACATTAATCAAATATTAAATACTTTTTACAGTAATTCAACAATCAATAAAAATTAAATATTTACAAAATATTATTAAAAGAAAAATAAAATACAAAATGCATTTAAAACAATTGTTTTTACACTTTCATATTTTTACTGTTAAGCACGGTTCTTAGATATATATGTATTTAGATTAATATATAAGTATGTTTATCAGCAGTCTGGTTATCATAGTACAGGCTCTGTCTAGTTTGGAATCTCCTGCTTCTCGGGACTCAGGAGCCAGGTGGTGATTCAACTAAAAACCACCCCGACGGCAGGCCTCAGGTGCCCTACTCTGGGAGGACCCGGACCATGTTATTTCAGGTCCTCCCCGAATTGACGCCCTATAATCAGGCGCTATCCCAGGGGAAAACGCTTCGCGACGTGCAGTCCAATTGCGTTTTACTGCAATCAGGCCGCCATCCTATCCCCTACCGCATCAATCAGTCTGCCACCAGAGGTGCACCGCTACCCGCTGCGCTTAATTGAGCTTAGCTCACAGTGGGAGGAAGCCGATGGGCGGTTGGCCCATATCGGCGCTCCGTAGAGGGCCATGGATCGGATCACCGCACAGTAGAGGCGGCGGCCTTCCTACCGCGGAGCCGCCCATTAACACCTGCAAGTCGAGATACATAAATGCGTAGAAAATTAATAGTAATACTTTGTTATTTTAGACCGTAGTACATAAAGAAATAAGAAGTGAAAGAATTATCATACAGATCACAGAAACATGTGATATTTAGAAAAGTTAAAACTCATGTGTTGAATCTAGAGAGAGCTAACGATTTCCAACAATATGTGCTATAATTTATTTTGAAGTTATTCACACAGAAAGTGTGACATTTTAAGAGAATATTACAATTGCACAAGACTGCCTCGGTGGTGAAGTGGTAGCGTATGCGACTGCTGTCCTTCTCTTTGATCTTGGATTCGATTCCCGTGTAGGACCAAATGTTTGTATGATCTGCAAATATTTGTTTCGGAGTTTGTGTGTTTTCTATGTATGTATTTACAAAAAACATAAGTATTCTATCAGTCAATCTAGCTTTCATAGTAAAAGCTCTGCTAGGTTTGAAACTAGATGGCGTTGTGTGTTGATGTACAAAAATATTATTATTATACGTATAGCTTAATCTTTGTATGTTTTGCATGCTTGACGTTTTCAGTCATTATAAATACATAAATTATATTGTCTTTTTTAATAGGAAGAAGCACCACAAAGGCCGCATCGTGGGCAGTTTTCTTGTGGGCAACAGGGCTTTATACGACTACGTGGACAACAACCCCTTTATAGGTTAGTTTTTTTCTTTTGCTCATCTGTGGATCAAAAATAGTGATGCAAAATGGTTATGACCCAAAGGCCCAAGAAAGGGGCGACCTTTTATAGCCGAAATAACTATTCATTATAAAACAAGATGCTGACATGAAGACAATTGATATTTTTATTTTTGCTTGTCAATAATAATATTTTTAACCGACTTCAAAAGGAGGTGGTTATCAATTCATATGTTTAAGTTTTTTAATGTATGTAAGGGCAATAACTCCGTCATATATACATGGATTTTAATGTTAACGTTTGCCGAGTCCATTGTTTTCAAGTTATAACATAGTTGTAACAGCCTCTTGTACGTTCAGGTGCAGTTTGTTACTCAACGTATGTAATTAGTTCTACGTAATGAGAAACTAGATTAAAATATTAACCATATTTCTTTATTCCAGAAATGTTGGAGATCGACTACGTAAACAACACACACGTAGTTTCCCTCCAGCCCTGCATGACCGCCATCAACTCTTGCATAGAGGTGGACCTCACTGGACAAGTCTGTGCCGACTCTATCGGTAAGATCAATATTCATCCGAACGTGGTCACTCCTTTTATTCGTAAATTAGAAAGTTTTAATGAAGGCAACCTGCTATTGCCTGCCACCGCCTGATTAACATTATTTAAATTACTTGAACAATGTTGATAATGTGAAACAATACGTGCAAAATATTGTACAGTATAGTCCATCCAGGTCATAAGAAACCGCCCATGGGAAAATATGTTTAGAAAAGGAATGGAATGAAATCACAATCACATATTTAATCATATGATTTACAAATCATATCATCAAATCACTGTTTCTTAATTATTATTATAAAGCTAGCGCAAGGCTCGCGAAAACCCTAAATCGAAGAAAAAAAGTCGTAATTTTTGATAAAAAACATTTGATTGACTTTAAATCCTTTTATCTTTGTCGTCTATGACGAAATTACAATCACATGTGAAATCCCTGTGTATAGAACCAATCATTTCTTCAAATGAATATGATTTAAAAGTAGCAATAACTCCCATGGCTAGATAACATATTATTATATGCTACTGTGTGTGTGCAGGTACGCGTATGTACTCGGGCTTCGGCGGGCAGGTGGACTTCATCCGCGGCGCGGCCGAGGGAGTGGACGGGCGCGGCAAGCCCATCATTGCTCTGCCTTCCGCCACCAAGAAGGGAGCTAGCAAGATCGTGCCCACGCTTAAAGCTGGTAGGTGATTCAAATCAATTACATTGGTTTTCTCCACTCTGTTTCTAGTCATAGTTTAGTATGGTGATGAGTAGATTAGCCTTCTTCAGTATTATTAAATAGTTTTTTTATTCAAATTCTACTAAAGCTCCTTGAAGTCAAAATTTTGTTTGAGTTTCTCACTTGTTTCTCTCCAGAACAGACGTTATGATGGATCGACAATTCAAAAATATTTAATAATGTTTGACGGTCTCGTTGGTCTCGACGGTCTAGTGGTAAGCGACCCTGACTGCTAAGACGGTAATTCCACTAAAAACCACTCTGATGGCCTTCCTTAGGTGTCCTACTCTGGCAGGACCCTGACATGTTAACTGTGTAACTCTAACCTAAGAAAATGTTGTTGTATCAGAAAATTTGTACTTAATTTGAAGTTAATAAATATTATTATTAGTTAGTAGTGATTAACTTAAGGTGTGTGATAGGCGCGGGCGTGGTGACGACGCGCGCGCACGTGCACTACGTGGTGACGGAGCAGGGCGTGGCCTACCTGTTCGGCAAGACGCTGCGCCAGCGCGCCTACGAGCTCATCAAGGTGGCGCACCCCGACCACCGCGAGGAGCTGGAGAAGGCCGCCTTCGAGCGCCTCAAGTGCATGCCCGCGCCTTAGACCCGCCTCTGGCTACCGCTCGACACTAGTTCCGCGTTGCGTTAGTAGGATATCGCCGACATAAGTGTATCGAGGCCGGTCGACCCCACTGTTGGGCTTAATATCCCCCTAGTTTATATAAGATGACTCAGACTTGACGGTCGTCTACCGAATGAAACGTTGTTGCTTTAAACTGTTCAGGGACACGTTTATATAGGTTGTTGGTTTGTCTTTAATGTTTTTTAATCGCTTAAATCGAATGAGCGACGTGTACAGTTTTTTTTTTATAAATCATGTATTTTGTACGCCGGTCTAATGTTACACGAAAATGCAAGGCAATTAGAACCGATTATTGTGCCATGTTATTTTTAAAGGGAGGTGCACGCTTGCCTTATTCTTGTTATTTTTGCCTGTAACTCAACATCAACGGACACCGACTGGCATTTATCTTTGATATTATATTTTAGCATTAGTTGCGTCTATCTCTGTCAGTGCTAATTTAATATACTACTTCAGCGAAGTGTTACCCAAGATTAAGACAAGACCTCGAAGTAATCCTGCATCAATACTGGTCTTGGACCCACAAGGTATGAGCAAAGTGAACGAGAGTTGTGACACCTTGATTTATATGAACATAGTACACTAAGACACCACTTATACTAGATATAATAATCAGTGACACCTATCAGAGGCGCAGCATGGACTAACATAGACGTAAGCGAACACGCACCAGAAAGGCCCCTTTTCTTTCGTTTCCAAATGACTGAGACCGAAGATGCTTTGCCACGACATACCTATTTATAATAGTAAATAATAGGATGCGAGCAGAGTTCACCCATCAAACTGCAGCACGGGTTTACCTCCAGCCTTTAGCAGCTCTGTTGTAACCCCATCCTCTCCAGGACATCGAATTCAACTTCGCCTACGCCTAGCTACGCCACTGACACCTATGTTGTTAGATGAAAGGAACCTTGGTTTCGATACTCATGATACTAGGGAGTACACACACGAACATTATTTTTTGCTTGTCGTACTACTGATTTTTATTATTTAAATCGCAACAGGTGTTTTGTACATTCGTAGAATGTGTTAAATGCGAGAAGCATGAGTCTCACAGCTTCAGTTTTGTTCATACTCATAGATTGCAGGGTCAGGTTTGCTACGATTCAGCACTCTTGGTCTTGCATAATCACGAACCTGTTTTTGGGAACACTAAAAGGTAGTCAATCTTCTAATCGCAACTCCTAAGCCATAGCGCAACTTCTGCTTTTATTTTTATTTATTTTTTATATTACTGTACATTATTTTATATATCAAATCAGTAACCAATATAAACATATTGTTAACACGCAAATGTCTGCATTGTAAAGTCGACGCTCACGTAAAAATCGTTTGTCCTTAGCCTAAAAGTATTCATTTTGGCCATTAGACGTGTTAAAATGAATTAGATTGCTAGATGATCATATTCATAACCTAGACTTTTGAAAATGAGAGATCAAGGAATGCTTTTTTTATTATAAATGCGGCAATAGTATTCTAGTTACTATGTAGCATTTTCACAATTATTTTATAGTATGTTTATGTATGACTACACGAGTTTATTGTGCGTTATCATCAAGTAAATGTTAACATTATATTGTTGTTTTATTTTATAAATCCCTTGTTACTAAGAATTTGGAAATGAAATGGAAGTACTTTGATTTTGTCGAAACCGGGAATATTTTTCTGTAAGCCTGTGTGGGAGAGCCATGCTTAGGTTAATACGGCACGTGCTATTCTCTAAAGAAACAGCTTTGTGCATAGCGCTGCCACAGCGTCGAAGTTCAAACTAACTTAGTTTGAAATTCGACGCTGTGGTTTCGACAAAATCAAGTGAGAATAGCACTGCTGGTCGGGGAACTGTAAGGGGGGCAACGCAGTTGTGGCAAGAGCCGCTCATGAACACGATGGCGGTAGTTACTTCCCATCAGATGTCCCATATGCTAGTTTGTAGGTATATACCATTTGACAGTGTGTATTTTATGTTTAACGAATGAGAAGGTAATGTAGTAACCATGAATGATAAATAAACTCAAAGTTACAATTATAATAATATCTGGTTGAAATTGAAACAACAACATAACAACAATATAATAAAAATGTCTACTACATAATCTCACTACTACCTGATTTTAACAATGGGATTTAGGAGTAAAAAAGAAAGGTAATACTGAGAGCTTAAGGATTAAATTCACCACTAAACTACACTAAAAACTAAAAACTACTACAAACACGACACTACCTGAAATCTTTTGTTTTCAATACACTTGTTCAGGTTTGAGCAAACAAGAAATCTTGAAAATAAAATATAAGGGGAGAAAAAGGAACGGCCACTACTCTCCATATCAATAGCAATGAAGGAATAAACAACACAGCGTATTATAATCATTTTTTGCCCCTTTCCAAATTTCCCATGTTTTATATGAAAACATTTAATTTCCAAAGAGATTTATTATACTTAATACTTAGTCCAGTTTCGGAGTCACTTAATATTACTTTATTTTTTATTCTCGAAGAAGCACGGTGTGCTGAACAGATAGAGGCAGTATTTCAATCCGGCCCACCTCCTTCAGCTCTATCAGGCGCAAGTCCGGCCTCATATGGAATACTGTTCATCATCTCTATGCTCATATCTATGCAGGGCACCTCAGTACGAAGAGTGTGTGTGTATTGTAAATATTATACTATCCCCCCTCAATATCCCATAACTTAAATACATTCTTGCTTTTTTTAAAGCTTTATGCAATTCAGCATTCTATCCGCAAATAGGTATCTTTATCGTGAAGTTCATCATTTTTTTTTTCATTTTTTGCACCGTAATATATGAAATTTTCATTTAAACCGCAAGAACAAATCGGGAATACAAAACGATTTTGATTGCTCTATGCTCAACAAAGCTGAAGTAGATTGCTCTGTATAAACTTAGAGTGAATAAACATTTCATTGGAAATGACTACATAAACACATCGCAATAAATTAAAAAAAAAACATGTCAAATAAGTCTTAAATTAGACATTCTTTATTTAAATTTTACTCATGTATTATTTGCGAATGGTAGGATGTATTTATACCGGCCTCTATTTATAAAACTGCATAACTTAAAATCAAGTTGTAGTCACAAAAGTTACTTTTTATTTGATTCTCATTTTCAACGTGGCATCGTTTACAACAGTCTGTCTTCTGCTCACTTCCAGGTTTCACGAGTTACGCTTCGAAGCACGTGAATGTGAAATATGAATAAATAAATTAAATTATAGGTCAGTACCATTACTGGAGCATACTACTATAGCACAAAATGTGATAATCGCTTAATGGCAACACTCTTTCTTGAAATGGCTACGTTTTGAAACTAAATAATCTTACCTTTTTGGTGATTTTTGAATTTATATTCATTTTACGCTGTTTAAAAATATAACTTTTCATCCAAATTAAGTGCACATTATTTAAAACATTACAAATATCTCATATACATTTTAAATTTACTTTTTTAAATCTAGAAGAACGCAAATAATTTAGGATTCTGATTGGAAGAAAGCAGTGTCAATATAAGCGTGGCTGACTTTTCGAACGCAATACGTCCTCCATTCAGTCACAGTTTCGTAAAATGTAGCCGTGAATTTATTATTGTTTTTATTCCAAAAGTGCGTAATTTGTGCTTTCGTATTCTATTTTACATTAACCGGGACGATTAATAATAATCTGTCATCATGTCGATTTTTATGAGTTCACGGAGAGAGATAATGATTGCTGGGAAATATAAGGTGTCGAAAAAGATTGGCGGAGGATCGTTTGGTGACATTTATTTAGCAATCAACATCGCTAGTGGCGAGGTAAAATAATTATAAGATTTCAGTATTAGATCTTATTCTAAGAGTATGTTAGCATAGCTTTCGTAACATTGAAAAGGCCCACGCGTCATCAGTGGCACATTATGGCGGGGCGAGGGGTGCTTGCGGATTTTTACTATGACGTATAATCTAGGGAAATGAAGAACAGACAACCAATTTCCAGGGTCAGTCGTTTGACCTGGTTGGACAATAAATACTTTAATGTAGCTCGACTTTATCAGTGTTGTTAATTTTGGCAATGTTTAGTAGTAATTACGATTCTATTTACATCTGTTAAACTTTCACCAAATAAATTATTCGTGTTTCGTCTTAAAATGTAACCTTCTCTCTGCATGTGTTAGCAATGTTGCAATTTTCAGCATCGAATTACAGTATAATACATTATAACCTATATTGTCACATTTGGTTGTTCTCAATTAATGTTATGAAAATGGTATGTTGTGTCAATGTTACATCATAGACCCCTGCTTTGAATCATCACTATGATAATCTTTCTTTCTTATTTAGATGACAATTAATAGTAACTGTACTGGCACAGTTTTTTTATGTAACCTTCACTATTGGGACTTTTGGGTCACTGTCAGACTTTAGGTCTGATGATTTCTCTGCACTAAACATCCTCTGGTATCTCTATCATACTAAGAGGCAGTTTAAGAATTTTTTAATGATGCTATTATGTTTAGGTATGTACTACAAGAAACATTGGCAATCAAAATCTCCATTCAATCTTTGTGACTCTCTCTAAGAGTAACATATTTCTTTTGCTTATTTCTGTCTATTATTAATATAGTCAATTTATATGTACTTGAAGTTGCCTGGAAGTCTAATTTGGACCATTTTAAATGTCCTGTTTTATGTCATTCAGTGTTGAGTTGAGTTCATTGCCCACTCTAACTTGAACTGTTATTCTATAAACTTTTATATCAAAACATATATAGACTGAAAAATTTAACTGCCTTGGTGGTGTAGTGGTAGCATATTCAACTGCTGTGCTGAGGTCTTGGGGAAATGTTTGTACAATCTGCAAATATTTGTTACGGAGTTTGGGTGTTTTCTATTTAACATATTATGTATACATTATACATGTATTTACGAAAAACAAGTAGGTATATAGGTATTCTATCAGTCAATCTA